GCCATGGAAAGTTTCTTCTCGAGGTGTAATAAGATTCTGCGTTACTACGCGATGCCGGCTGGCGTAAGAGATAAAACCGCCAATGAAGAAAAGGAAACGAAAAGTCACGCTGCCACCACGTTTGAATTGCGTGAGTCTTATGCCTCGACCAGTAGTTTTTCTTCTGCACTCGGTGTTCGTCGTCTGGTGTATTCTTTTGCCCCTTGTGACTGCTATCATCTCGTCACTGACGAGAACAATCCGCTCTACTACGCCAAATCCAGCCGCGCAGCTTATGACGCACGCACAGTGAGCATCACGCTTGTGTCCGATCTCACAGCTGCGCCATGGTCGTCACCCACCATCTCCATTTCGAGTCACCCCAACGCAGGAACGCCAAATGAGAGAGGTGGGAAAACAACAGCCGGTGGCGGTAGCGGTGGCTTAGAAGGACTTGTTTTTTCCAATCAGGCATCACGTGCTGCATCGCCCGACCCAATTGTTTCCGGGAAAAAATCTTCCACTTGTACTGGTAGGAGCTTGTCACCACAGCCCATTCGCCCACAGAATGGTAAAAGACTCAGTGGGGCACGGACTTCTCTGCAAAAGCTTACCTCAAAGACCGACGGATTTTTGACTCTCACCACGTCACTCTCTTGTAACAACGTCTCTGGCAACCCCAAGCACAGGAAGGACAGTCTTTTGGAGAAGGGACTCTTCGGTGGGAAAGAACACGAAGAATCCAAGGAAACGGATGCCTCTAATGGTGTCAGTAATAGGAGTAAACATGCGCTTTCAAAGGGTGATTTTGCCAATATTTTTTGCCTTTTATCCAACTCCTCTGCTGCTCAACATCAACTTCGTCACGGTGTTATTCGACCAGTTGTCTCGGTCGCAGTGCTTGACAGGGAGAAGCGCCCTCTCACCAGTTTTTTGAAAGGCGATAACTCAGATGGCATTATGTGTCACGGGCTTCTTGACCACACGTGGTACTCAATTCCAGTGCAACCTCTTCCTGCGATGCAGGATGACGTGCAGTGGATGCCCGTTGTTTTTGGGAGCACAGAATGTATCAGTGATGTTGGATACCGCACCGCCATGCAGATTGGTTTTTTCCCAAATAAAACGGACACCACGACACGCAATTTCTCCATCCAACAAATGACAAGTGGGGTCCTTCCTACTTTAGAGGAAGCTAGAAGTTCACTCGCTGCAGCCCAAGAAAAAAAAAGCGCATTGGCACCCCGAGACCCTAATTTACTGCCTACTAAGCAGCAAAATAAGCAGTGTCTCAATGAGGTTGCTTTGTCATCAGTGTTCAAGAAGGAAACGCCACTTGCGAATAATGAGCAGCCAGCAAACGTCACAGCACGGCGGGGCGGCGTTGCCATGACATTTGGGAACGACGAGCAGCCAGCAAGCGTCACAGCACGGCGGGGCGGCGTTGCCATGACATTTGGGAATGATGAGCAGCCAGCAAACGTCACTGCACGGCGGGGCGGCGTTGCCATGACATTTGGGAACGATGAGCAGCCAGCAAGCGTCACAGCACGGCGGGGCGGCGTTGCCATGACATTTGGGAACGATGAGCAGCCAGCAAGCGTCACTGCACGGCGGGGCGGCGTTGCCATGACATTTGGGAACGATGAGCAGCCAGCAAACGTCACTGCACGGCGGGGCGGCGTTGCCATGACATTTGGGAACGACGAGCAGCCAGCAAGCGTCACAGCACGGCGGGGCGGCGTTGCCATGACATTTGGGAATGATGAGCAGCCAGCAAACGTCACTGCACGGCGGGGCGGCGTTGCCATGACATTTGGGAATGATGAGCAGCCAGCAAACGTCACTGCACGGCGGGGCGGCGTTGCCATGACATTTGGGAATGATGAGCAGCCAGCAAACGTCACTGCACGGCGGGGCGGCGTTGCCATGACATTTGGGAATGATGAGCAGCCAGCAAACGTCACTGCACGGCGGGGCGGCGTTGCCATGACATTTGGGAACGACGAGCAGCCAGCAAACGTCACTGCACGGCGGGGCGGCGTTGCCATGACATTTGGGAACGATGAGCAGCCAGCAAACGTCACTGCACGGCGGGGCGGCGTTGCCATGACATTTGGGAACGACGAGCAGCCAGCAAACGTCACTGCACGGCGGGGCGGCGTTGCCATGACATTTGGGAACGATGAGCAGCCAGCAAGCGTCACTGCACGGCGGGGCGGCGTTGCCATGACATTTGGGAATGATGAGCAGCCAGCAAGCGTCACTGCACGGCGGGGCGGCGTTGCCATGACATTTGGGAATGATGAGCAGCCAGCAAACGTCACTGCACGGCGGGGCGGCGTTGCCATGACATTTGGGAACGATGAGCAGCCAGCAAGCGTCACTGCACGGCGGGGCGGCGTTGCCATGACATTTGGGAACGATGAGCAGCCAGCAAACGTCACTGCACGGCGAGGTGAACTTGATGAGCGTGATAGGATGTATGGAAGGAAAACAGGGGTGGAATGCTTTGGCGGTGATTTTGGCTGGCGTCGCTCTGCGTCTTATCGATCTCCAAAAGCGCAGCGACCCACTATTTTTGAACGTGGTGGATTTGCTCTGGGAGAACCAGAATCTGCAGTTGCAAACGAGGATAAAATTTCTACTTTTTTCAGCAGCACTGCACGACCCTACATGAAAAACATCAGTCCGAGGCCTTTTTGCCGCACAACAGGCATGGCACCTCCTGAGGATATTTGTGGTGGAACGCCGGTGGGTCGATGGCGTGCGTCTTCGCCAGGACCCACGTTTGGGGAGAGCGGCGCCGGTCAAGTTTTGAGGAACGGCGGGGATTGGCGGCCGAATGCTCAAAGAAGAGGGGCGGCGCGCGAGGACTCTCCAGTGCCCGGATTCACTGGGTTGCCGCGTTCACGTGCGACGACTGTGTTGGACCCGTTTGGAAAGCTCTGCAACCGACCCAGTCCCCACCCGACCGTGGACGCACCGTTTCAGCAGATGGCGGGGGAATCACACTTTTACCCGTCTCAGAATGATCGCTGGCAGAGTCATGATGTCAACAATGGTCTCCATCGCACGAGAATTGCTGAGCATCGCGACGGGAGTTTTTGGCGTCCGACGTCGTTTGGTGGTCCACCGCCGAATGGCACGTCCGACCCTCTTGCGTCGCCCATCTCAAGTATCTCACGTAGTGGACTTTTGATGTACGAGGACAACAACGCGTCTGCAAGGGGTGGGTTTGGAGGAAATTTCACCCCTGATGCGTTTCATCGTTTTTCCCATCGTCCAACGGTTAGTCGTCTCAACACCGGTATTGGTTGTGGACGCTACGATACGACAAACGTCAATCATCACTCCAATAGTGCTGGTGCATTTGCCGATTCCGGGAAGCGTGTGGGTGCAGGAATCAATTCTTCGTTCAACAGCCCCTTCGCGAGGACGGGTTTCTTGTACGATGACGGCGTCTCCCGCCTACCCATCATTGATGAGTACGGCTCTCCAAGGAATGGAAGTCGTGTTCGTCCGCGGGGCGTGCAAGCTATGGACATTGCGTGGTCAGGTCAGTGGGCATCGTCTCCAGCACCGTCCCGATCGGCACACGATATTCCCGGACGCCGTGCTGTGCCATACCCGGTCACCTCTCGTGTGGCATCAATTGCGATGCCTTGGCGAAACACAACCACCACTGGCGCTGGCGTCAATAAAAGAGGGCTCCTTGCCAGTAAACCGCCGTTAGCCCCAAGCAGCCGTGCGCCACCGTTTTGTTTCTCCGCCAAACCTGCAGGTGTACGCGGTACCGTAACTCCTTCCTCCGTTCGCGGTCTCACCCTGCGAGAACGTGTGCGCTTGCGGCAACAGCAACTGCGCCGCGAGGCGAACTTACAAGCAGTTAACGAGAACCTACATGAGAATTATTGTATGGGAAATGATATGAAGCGGCTTCGAAAAGAGCCGAATGGGTTTATTTCCGAAAAAGCATGTCCTGATATCAACGCCTCGGGGGAACCCAATGTTGTGACTGGCAACACCACTTCTGTTCCTGGTGCCACGGCAGAAGCTGCGCACAACGGTGACACGAGAACAGCAGAGAAGCAAGGCGCAGCCTACCTTGGCTCATATGGAGAGCAGGTTCGACGCCTGGAGTCCCTTACAGAACCATTTATCCAAGCAGATGGGGTAAATGTTTCTTTTTGTCTTCGCGACTTGGCTAACGTGTTCCTCTGTTTACCTGGAGGTGCACTCAAAGAAAGTGACCTCACAAAAGCAGCTTGGTTAGATGATGGAGTTTCCTATTTTGTTTCCGCAAAACCCATGCGGTTCCGTGGTGGATGGGAAAGCTACCTACAACACCTTAACCTCTACCAGCAACCCTTCTACCTGCGGGAGAGGGCTTTTATATTTGTTCTGCGGGTTCCATATCACCCAAACCTCCGCGTCTGCGTTGCGGTGCATAACCTGGACGACTTCATTGCACTGTTGCAGCAGCGACCCTTGAAGCCGATTTTACTAACAAAGGAAGAAAAATGGATGCAGGAACGTCTGTACGGAACGGATTCCGGTGGGATTGGTTCTCAGGCCCAAACAAACTCCAAGAGAGTGGGGTTTTTTAGACGACTTTTTCAGCGCTTGCATATCACTAAAATAGATAGCCGCAAGGAAGAAACGCGCGATGAAGCGCAGCAATGTGGTGGCTGGGCACCTATGACGTGGCGACGGCGCTTGGCATTGTTGCGTCTTCACGCAGAAGCAACACTTCGCGGTTCTGCGTGGAAGACGTTTACGACACCACTTTTAACGGATCCCGCCCTATTGCATGCCCGCATGTCGTTTCTCTCAAACCGCACCGCCACTTACGCCGCAATACGGCATCGAATAAACACTCTTCAGGCACTTGCTGCCACAATGGTGACCAAGCAGAGGGAAGGTTGTGCCAGGGAGCAGCCGCGCATGATAGAAAACCGAGTTGATTCAGAAAAATCACTGCCATTGGCGTCCAACCAAACGGATCCGCTGAACGAAAGGCCTCTCTTCCCACTCGAAGCACGAACTCCAGCGACGACGACGACGGCCAGCGGTGCAAAAAATGTGAAGACGAAGCGTGAACCATTTCGTGTGGATCGCGTAGGCGATGGATCAGCAACTGCGCTGCGTCGACCACATCCGGCGCTACCCGCTATGCAACCAGTAGAGACGTCAGCAGCAGCGATGACACGGGGGGTTATAGAGAAACGGACGGAAATGCAGACAAAGTGCAGATCAACCTTGGCACCCTATGCTTCTTCGGTAAGTTTGTCGCGACCGCAATCGCCTACACCAGCGTCACAGTCAGACCCGGTGGGAGTGCCGGGGCAATTGCTGCCACGGGAAACGAAGAGAGATGCACTAATTCAGGTCGCGGAAAATATGGCACGGAGGAATAATATTCCCAATGAAATTTCGCCTCCTCCAATGACAACGGTCTTGAAATTTGTGTCATCATTGGATCAAACGGAAAAACAAGGACAGATTTTTGATGGGTGTTCTAAGCAGACATCAATTTCATGTGTAACGACACCTAATCCTGTCTTTGCAGGATTACTTCCAACACCGACAGAGATTCATCGCCAAGGAGAATGCTTCAATATCAGCGTCTCTCAGCTTCAGCAATTGCTTCAGTGGCAATGGGAATACCATCAGAATTGTTACGAGGCGTTTCCTTTACCTGTTTTCTGTGGGGCTCTTGTCACACCCCCAGCTGCGTATTTTGATCTTGCCGGAGGATTAAAGAAGAGAAACGAAGGATCAGGAATAAGCCCCTTATCTCGCTCACTTTTGCTCGCCCTTATAAAATGGGGTTGGCTTGTTCCAATGGATTACAAGGCTTCGAGAGAAGGCACGCGTCTTTGTTTTCTTTCAGAGGATCCCCTGTCATCCCTCTTTGGGCTTCAATCAAGAATGGGAAGAGGAACTTTTTGCCTTTGTTTCTTAGTCTTTGGAATGTGGCGACATCAGGCGATGTGGCTTGCTTTACTGTACATTGTGTACAATTTGCTTCAGGCGATTATGCGGGTTATTTTTGGTGGATTTCATCGACGGCCTGCGGCTTTGGACTCCGCCACCTCCATTGCTTACCTTCAATCCGAGGCGGCAGTCGAGACGATGTTAGAGAAGCGACAGTTCTTTCGCACGCAATCACTTGCCACACGCATACTTCGGACACAGAGCTTTGTACAAAATGTTTTGAGCCGAGCGGTGATGCTAATGCGTGGCCATTCTCCCTTCCTTTCGCTCATCATTGGCTTGGAGGTCCTTATGACGTGCCTGCTTATTCTTATCTACAAATACAGCGTATGTCATCTTCTTCCCAACACACATCTTGTGCCAGGGGTTATGGTTGAGCATCTCTTGCAGGCGCTGGGGCCATTTGCATGGGTATGGAACTCTGCGGTTGTCCGCTGGTGTGCGCCCCTCATTCTACCGAGTGGTGTTGATGGAAAAACTTTGGGATTTTTGTTTTTCCTCTATTTTTTTTGCTTTCTGTTGCCGTGGTCGCCACTGCGCTGGATGTGTCGGCGAACGTGGGAACTCTTTTTACACGACGATGCGTTAGTCCGCCGTCCATTGCTCTCGTTCTGAGAGAACCTTTATTTATTTATTTATTTATTGGGTGGAGAGGTGTGGGGAAATACTTATTCTGCCAATTCACGTTAGATTAGAGAAGAAAAGATATTTCATCTTGTACATGTTTGTTTTTACACACATTTTCTCTCTTTCTTTTTTTCTATTTCTCCCTCTATCTTTACACCTTTATATATATGTATATATGACTGGCTTTATCTTTTTTTATGGCTGCTGTCTTCTTAGATTTTGGCATGTATTGTTTGTCAATTCCCCTTTTCTGTTTGTTTTACTTTTGTCTGTGGATGCGCGCGGGTGGGAAGGGCGGGGTTTGATTTCTTTGCGAGGGGCGTGTTTTGCTGGAGAGACCCACGCGTGATGGAGCCCCCACCGCGCGAAGGTCAAGAGGGCGATAATGACCAGAATGCCTATAGTGTGTACAGTGAGTCCCCTAGTATTATTAACGATGAGGAAATTCTTACACGTGAAAAACTTGGGGCACTCATCACACTGCATGATGCGGTATGGACTGTAAGCTCCGCCAAGCACGGCAATGGAGTGACGTGTTTGCTGGATGGCTCCCACAGTACTTTTTGGCAATCGGATGGGGTTCTCCCTCATGTTATATCCATTGATTACGCGCGGCTGACGCCGGTTTCAGTCGTGGCTCTCTACCTTGACTTCCAGCAGGACGAAAGCTACACCCCGCGAAGGATACGGGTGCAATCCGGTACACATAGCGGTGACATGGCAGATGTTGCCGCCGTTACGGTAGATGATCCGCGTGGTTGGGTATTCATACGTATGAACTTAGAGGTGGAGACATCAGAGCCCTGGGAACTTGAAATAATGCGTGGAACCGAAGGAGGTGGGGCTGGCACCCACGCACTTGGTGCTTCTAGAGCAAGAGAGACGGCAGAGGGAATATCGTCATCGCCACCTTTCTTTCCTCAAGATGCTATTGTAGAGAACGATGACTACGCTGAATTTATGGGAGATGGTGTGTGGTGCACACATATTCGTATCATTCTTGAGGAAAACCGTCAGAACGGCCGTGATTGTCATGTCCGTGGGGTGAGAGTGCTGGGACCCATGCGACAAAGCGTGTTCACCACAGCGTCCTTCTCCCAACACCTTCTACTACGCTAAGGTACGTCTGCGTATACATGCATACGTACACACACCACTTTTTCTATCTCAAAAATGGGGAAGAGGTGGAATATTGTAAAGGTTACGTGGATTCCTGTCAGTTTGTGGGAGATGAAAAGAGTGAGAGCGGTGTTTGTTTATGTTTAAAGGCCTTGCTTTTGACGCGTATTGCAGGTATTTTTGGGACTAAAGTGTCTTTCTTCTTTGTATTTTTTTTCTTTTTCCTAGCTCTCTGTTGAATCGCGCGGGGCAAGAGAACTTTAATAGCAGAGCGAAAAAAAGCCCATAAAGGACAGGGCGACAACAGTTGTCTTCGTCTTGATTGGTTGGTTGTTTGTGGATTCAGGCGTTTGCTCCCCACAGTTCCCACCACGGCTTCTCTCATGTCACATCAGGGGGTCTACGAGGACGACTTTGAGCTTGACGAAGACGAGATCTCTACAGACCGCGAGCGAGGCCCACCGTTGACACCCAAATCCGTGGATGCATCACCGGCTGCACGAGAAGTTACGCGTGGTAAGGAGACTTTGCTGCCAGAGCCCCATTGCATGCACGGCAAGAAATCTATCCCTACCTTCAAGGCCTCCAGTGGTCGTCGCCCGCCGCAATTGATTCATCCCCCCGCGTCGCGAATTGCCAAAGTAAAGCCCCCCGTGGTCACCGGGAATCACCAGCTGCTGCACCTGTCGAAGCTGACCTCAGTGACGCAAATGGAGCCTGATAGTGAGAGATTAAAACAGAGTGTCAGTAGAAATGAGGTGCCCGCTCGCACATCGGAGCCGCGAACTGATGTGTTGTCGTCATCGTCAACATCATTATCAGGGAGAAAATGTGCGTCATCACCCGCTTTAGCTATGGAAAAAGATGCGAGACATTGCGCGACCGCGGTAGCACCGAGGGAGCATTTAAGGACATTGCCGCCGATGGCGGGGAGACGCGCAAGTAGCAATGAGGAAAAGCATGTGAGACCTCCATGGCATCAGGAGTCGGGGTCTGTTTTCACCAACGAGGAGAAAAAAAATTATGAGGGGGCTGATGTCTGGAAAAGGAACACAAATATTTCACCGAGGAAAGCTTTTGCGGAGAGTCAATTCAAAGTTTTTTCTGGAGCCGTAGGATCCCCGCAAGCGCCCCCAACTGCTCAGCCCCCTCAACACGGTGGAGGGGATGAAAAGTCAACGCTGAACGCAAAGGAAGTGTTGTGGCAGCGTCCAAAACAAATTTCTGGCAGTAGTTGCGGTCGTATTTCAGGGAAGGACCACGAGTCATCGTTTTGCGGGTCTTCTTCCGATACAGAAAGTCTGCCCCGCAATGCATGCCGCAGGAAAAAGCGGAAAGCCGGTGTGAAAAACAAGGAGGAGCGTGCCAGTGTACAGGACAACGAGACATATTCTAGCGATTTCTCTTCTGATACAGAAAGCCCACCCCGCAATGCAAGCCGCGAAGAACTGCAGAAGGCGATTTTTAAGACCAGATACGAAGTTGCCAATGTGCGTCGCGTGAGGCGGGCATTAGAAATTTCATTGCAATCTACTAAAAGGAGCAGCATAAGAAGGGGATACCGAAGGGCTCACATGGATGTGGATAGGCTGGAACGGGAAAACCAACATCTTCAGCGTCTGTTAGGGCTTAGAGAGCAATGGATTGGATGTCCTGATCTGGCCCTGCGCATTGCTGAAGAGGAATTGAAGTATTCACTTGATGAGCTTCAGCGAGCAAAGCGACGCCAACGTGAACTTTGGACAGAAAACAGGCGACTGTCCATTTTTCTCACGCAAGTCGTCAGGGATCATAAACCGGTCGAGGAAAAGGTTGCTAGTCAGTATCGGGAAGGCATGTATAACCGTCTTACAATCCAAACGAAGTTGGATACTCTGCGGGAGAAGCTGGCAGCGACACGCGAAAGTTCTGCTCGTCTTTCCAATCAAATTCGTAATTTGGAGGACCGTGTTCGAGCTGCGGGGTTAACATGCATGAAACCCGAAGAATACACCGCAATGCAAAGGGCTGTGAGAAGGAATAAAGAACAGATTGAAAGGCTTAGCGCCATCGTTACGGTGCCATTGGGGACGAAGGAAGACGGCAGCCATGGGGACATGCGCTCATCGTCTGAAAGCCTCTCCAGTGTGCAATATCCAGGGCGAAGTCAGATGGATGCGTTGGTTATGAAACTTGTGAAGCAGGTGGAAAGGAAAGAAGCACTGATCAAATTGTTGCGTCAGCGTCTCGCTGAAACGGAACCTACCGTGTCCACGGGCAAGGAAGGAGAATTGAAACTCTCGCCGCGGGAATGTGCACTGACAGGTGAAAGGAGAAATTCCCTGGCGTCACAATTGACTCCCAATATGCTTGTGCGCAACGTTAGTTCTCTTTCCCCATGCCAAATGGATAGCGAAGTTATCGCCCGCAGTATTTCTTCTTCAAAGAAGGAAGGTCCGCGCGAGCCACAACATCAACAGTCAAAAAAGGGAGGTGACCGGGTGAATGGAGCAATAGAACCTCGAAACGCGGAAGGGGGACGTGTTACAGGAGCAGAACAACCCACATCTAGTCTCGCGAAGCAGGATAAAACACTTTTGGAGCACTCGGAATGGCATAAGAATG